CACAAAGAGCCAGGGGATATGATCACGACCCCGTCACACTACCTCCTGCAGTAGACACGCCTATACGTCCTGTTGCTACCTAAAGTACAATGACAGTGTAGGGCCCGACATCAACTCCACTGACTTAAAATATAGTCTCAACGTTCAAGGACGCTAAAGTTACTTATTTCATTTTGTATGGTAGTTGCAATTTAGACGAGGGATTTCTGGAAGTGTGGGGAGGAAAGGTGTATCCGTGGTGGCCCACCTGTCTTAAGAATTATGGAGCCTCACAGGAAAAGCCAGGGCTTTGCCTGACCCCTGCACTGCACACCTGAATCTGGAGCTGAATGATAAGGTATGTCAACTATAATTTTATACATAATATATATATATATGTATATATTCACACACACACATACACACACAAACACAGGATATAAAGTACTGCATGGGGAATAGAGTCCATGGAACTGTTATAGATATGTAATTGGGTTGTTTGTTTTTTTGGTGTTGAGTTGAATGAGTGTTTTATACATTTTGGGTATTAACCCCTTATCAGATATATCATTGGCAAATATTTTCTCCCATTCGGAAGGCTGCCTTTTTGTTGTATTGATTTCCTTTCCTGTGAAAAATCTTTTAAGTTTCATATAATCCCATATATTTATATTTTCTTTTATTTCTCTTGCCCAATGGGCTATATCAGTAAAAATATTACTGAGGGTAATGTCTGCAAATTGGCTCCCTATGTTTTCTTCTAGGAGTTTTATGGTTTCAGGTCTTACATTTAAGTCTTTAATCCATTTTGAATTTGTTCTTGTATATGGCATAAGTAGGTGGTCCATTTTCATTTTTTTTTGCACGTGTCAGTCCATTTTTTTCAGCACAATTTATTAAATAGACTATCTTTACTCCAATGTAAATTCTTGCTTCCATTGTCATAGATTAAATTACCATATATGGATGGGATAATTTCTGAGCTCTCTATTCTGTTCCATTGATCCATGTGTGTTGCCTTACAGCTACGTCTATGACCCCCCTCCCCCTGCCGCACTAAACCCTGACCCAAAAGGTGCTGAGGAAGTGACTCGAGCGACCGAGACCCGGTGGAATGATATTGGTCATCTCCCTTAATTGAATAGCACACGGTACAGTAACGCTGTCCTGGGGGTTGTGCAGGCTGTAGGAAGGCATCGTACATGTTGGAATACAGTGGGAGCTGGTTAACGGAAAACAGCCTTAAGGCACGTGACACACGGATCTTTGAGTAATGCAGTTTCACTTCCT